ACGATAGAGATGGAGGGAAGTGAAAGGGGGGGGGGTTAAGCAGAAATAAAGAGAGAGAGATAGATAGAGAGCGAGAACGAGAGAGAGAGAGAGAGAGAAAGAGAGAGAGAGAAAGAGAGAGATAGCAGATAGCAGATAGATAGATAGATAGATAGATAGATAGATAGATAGACAGATAGATAGAGAGAGAGAGAGAGAGAGAGAGAGAGAGAGAGAGAGAGAGAGAGGGGGGGAAGATGCATTTTTATTTGCTGAACAATCTATTTTTTTTTCACCTTCTAATTTATTCAGCATAAAAAGACAAATGTATTGCCGATTGGGTTGGTTCAGATTTCCATTTTATGACTCCAGTCTCGCGTGGCTTACAAGGTTCTGAACTTTCCAACGGTTTGAACGCCGCGTCATCGGCACTTTATCTGATTACTCAACTTGCTAATGTGGTTCTTTTTTCTCTGTTTGTCCTGTAACAATCTGTAAAACCCAAAACTTTGGACGACATGGTAAGAGAAGGTGAAAAAGCTATCTCTTTTTATTTGTGGTAAGAGAAGGTGAAAAAACTATCTCTTTTTATTTGTCATAACCAATCTTACAAATGAGATTGGTTCCACAAATACAACACAGACAATTGTTGAAATAGGTGTTTTCAAATTGCCCCAAGGGAATAAAAGATCTTCCAAAAAAAGCATCAATACGTGAGGCAGCGTGGTGGAATCAGGCTCTCGTCAATATAATCAAAGTGAAGAAACTTGCATTTTTCCGCAGGTTTGTGAATTTTTATCAAATTTTTGTTTTTTGTCTCAACACCTTTCGTGCCCTTTAAGGAACTCATTTCGGTGTGGATTTTTCTGAAAAGCGTTGATTAAAGGCATAAAAACTGTAAATCTTCAGTTACCACGGACTCTTAAGCTAAGGAAATAACTAATCTTTGCGGCCATTTTCTCACTAATTTTACCTCTGAAAACAGGTGACACCCGCCTCCTTCTTTTGCAAATATCTCGACTTGTATTCAAGATAAATGGATATTTTTTACATCCAAATAAAGACAAGTGAACAAGCTTTAAGATGACACCAATAACTCTACATGCCCAAAAATTGACGAGAACCTGATTCCACCACGCTGCCTCACATGTATCTCGTTCCCCATTTCGAAAACACTAGATAAAATGACATTTAGCTTTCGTTGCCTTTCTCGTTATTATTCAGACTTTAACTCTGTGAAGAATTCATGCTCTCTCTCTCTGCCTCCCTGATTTGAGTGAAGAGTTTGCTCTGAAATCGCAGTTTGGAAAGTTATTTAATGAAAATTAAATGCTATCTTTAACAGTTCATATTTCATCTTTCATATTATTACTCTGAAAGGGACAGGACGTTTTTAAACATAAAACAGGCTAACCAAATAGGTGTCACGAAACAGTAGAATTAGGCGCACAACTATGTTTGGTTACACAGGGGTATTAGTATCATGCTTAAGCCTGTCTGTTTGTCTTGTTTTGGGGGGAAACAAAACCCATCTATCTTGAATAGAAGTCGAGACATTTGCGATTGAAAAAGGTGAAGTAGCCTTGTGTGAGAGGAAAATGTTAGCGTGAATGACCGCAAAATTTGGGTGATTTCCATAGCCTGGGTGCCCTTGGAAACTGAGAGTATACCTTTGTTGTGCCTTCCATCGTCGTTTTTCGGTAAAATCCACACAGAATAAAAGTGTTTGTAAATGTACAACTTGTTGTGGTGGTGGAAAAATGTCGGTTTATTTGATTTCATTAGTTTGACTAGCGCCAATTTCACCACGATGCCTCACATATTATAATAAGGTAATCCATCCCAAGTAAATCATTCTAAGGTACTTGTGTAGCTATCTACTCGAACGTGTTTGCCTCGTCCCGATACGCTGCAATTCTTCAGAGCTCAGGATATTTCCCTTACGGTTTGCCAACATTCATTAGCCTTTGGTATACGTGGTTTCTAGACGTTCCAGATGGTAAGTAAAGCATTTCTGGTACCGGAAATTGTTCTCGGTGTGGGCACAGATGGAATTCTCTTAAGCACTGGTGCTTAAAGGGCTGGCATACTTTTATACGCGCATACTGGACTTAAGGATCCGTCTTGTCTTGTTGCCAAATCTATAAAAAGTAGGATTAACAATTTGATAATTTGATCCATATTATCCAAATCACCCATTCAACATCAGTTCGAACCATTCCTTATAATGCATCGTTGCAGGGTTAATCAAAAACAAAAACAAAATAAGTTTAGATAATTATACATTCCAACATACACACACACACACACACACACACACACACACACACACACACACACACACACACACACACACACACACACACACACACACACATTCACTCGCTCACTTATAGACAGCGATGCAATGACGGAGAGAGAGTAAGAAAAATGCACACACAGACAAGAGAGAGAGAGGGTGGGTGGGAGAGAGAGAGACAGAGAGAGATAGAGAGAGAGAGGGGGGGGCAGACAGGCAGACAGGGAGAGA